ATTGAGGCCACTTGGAGGTTTGTCTGTGTCCTCCAAGGATAGAGAAGACATTTCATTAGCTAATGTGTATTTGGTGCAAATTTCTCTCAATAATTGAAATTTTTTCTCCTCTTACTCCAAAACTAGCTGGAATGTAGAGACTCTTTTGGTAGAAATTTCCACAAAGTAGGGGATAGAAAATTTTGAATAACATAAAAAGCTGCAAATCACCCACACAGCATACTGTATAGTACAAAAATAACTAAAACAAAAATAATATCTCCCCATCTCAAAACAATGAGTTGGATTCATCATGACAAATTTTGGTCCTCCCCTGACTCTCTTGTTTAAATGCTAAGTTGCTGCTAATTGAGCGCGAGAGAAATAGAGGCAGACAGAAGGACAGGCAATATATTCAGTTTTGCATGCCAAACCTGCCTAGAGAATAGCTCTGTTTTTAGATGCAAGGATGTAACTGAGTTACAGCTTCACTGAGAAATAACAAGCATATGTAGACATCTCCAAGGACTGTTTTTATTTCTGATCAGCTGAATTTTATAGGTCGGTCTTCACAATGTTAGAATTGTTTCTCTGTCTAGAGATGAAATCCAATGTCAGTAATTAATAGGCAGCAGCACACTTCTGCTGGCTAGTTTTGAGACATTTCCATATAATATTTTCCCCAGGTTGTTGTGAACTGTGTTTTGCAAAGACATGTTGGCCAATAGGTTTGTACCCACAGGTTCACTCAGCTTTACTCTCACAAAAAGAGTGATGGCTGATCACTATTGAAAGGATAAATATCTCACTTATCTTTCTTTCTAATCTTCAGGGTAGCCTAAGTGCCTTAATTAAATCCTCTTCACCCTCACCATGATTGGCTGTTGCTTAATTGTTTTTAAAGGACCATCCATTGCAAAACAAGTTAGGAAGAGCATTTGGAACAAGGCTACTGGAATTCCTTCCGACTTTAATAATAATTCCGCCCTGAGTCACATGATGAGAGATTGGCAGCATTCTGAGCAGCTGTCCTTCAGCCTTTGTCATAGAGATGCATGGGAGGAGTTATAGGTAGACCTTGACCACAATTGAGCCCAGAATTTATATTGTTAAATGAAACATTTGTTAAGCGAGTTTTGCCCTATTTTACGACCATTCTTGCCAAAGTTGTTAAGTAGATCACTGCAATTGTTAGTAACACAGTTATTAAGTGAATCTGGCTTCCCCATTGACTTTGCTTGTCAGAAGGTCACAAAAGCAGATCATGTGACACTGGGATACGCCATAAATATGAGCCAGGTGCCAGGCATCTGAATTTTGATCATGTGACCATCAGGGTGCTGCAGCGGTCATAAATGTGCAAAACGGTCATAAGTCACTTTTTTCAGCACCGCTGTAACTTTGAATGGTCACTAAATGAACCATTGTAAGTCGAGGACCACCTGTATTCTGCAAGATTTTTCTTCACAGCTCTGGTTTGGATCATGCCCATTTTCAAACTCCATCTTTCTTTTGCTGGCTTATTTGTCTACATCAAACTTGATCCTATTGGTTCTTCTTTTTTTTGAAATTAACTACTGACAAAGTTCCAAGACCCTTTATATAATTTCTAACTATCTATGTAGTTGGAAAGCATGAAAAACAACATTTCAGGAAGTGGCTTTGTTTATCTCAATCACAAACTATAGTCAATGCTGTGTGTGCCTCACTATTCAGTCCTGGAATGTAGATTTTATGTTAGTATCCAATAAAAGTGTGTTTAGCCTTTATTTAGGGTATATCTGGATAATTTTTAAAGTTCTGAGAGAGCAGCTGGCTCTTGTATGTTCCATTTTTTCAACCTCTTTTTGTTGATCTGAACTGGAAATAGAATTCTGGCTTATAAAAAAATATTGTATGTAAAGCTATATAGCAAGCCTCAAAATATATCATACAGAGTCTTGGCAAATGAATGGATCTGATAATTTTCAGCATAAATTGATCTCTATTCTGGGACCTGGAGTAATTAACAAGAGTTTGTGGACCTTAGAATCCACTTTTTATGTTCCACAAAATGCCATGAAGCAGATACAAGGGCCGACATCTATGCACCTGACAGGTCTGTGAACTAAAACAATATTTCTTGCTCCCATTTGAAACTAGGTTATTCCAATAAACTAAGCAAATACTGAAAACAAGTGTGAAAGGGGACAGAGGCCGCTTGTTAAATGATGGTGAAAATGCTCATTTTATAAGTCTGCCTTTGTGAAAACTGGCGGACTTCAGGCATCCATTTTGTGTTACGTATGTACGTAGTGATCGCTGAGTGTAAGGTCGTCTTTGGCATGCAAAGTTCAGCTTTTTTTGTATGGGGCTGTATTTTTGTGCAAAAATGCACATTGTTGGAGATTCCCGATGGTTCCAGTTTTTAATTGTGCTTACACCTTATGCTTTTGTGGAGTGGCAGGGTGGGGTGAGGTATCACTTTTATTTTTGAACTTATTTTTTACAGGTTTGTCACCAACTCTCCTTGTTGCAGAGTTTGTTTGAACCCAGTAGCACAAGTTTTCCTCTTTTCTCCCCGTAAAACTATAGATGCTTCCTCTCCTGCTTTGGCTTTTTTGTTTCTTCGGTTGTATTTTTCAGGCCCCACAACTGTTTCTTCAATAGTGCAGTTTACTGTGTTTTTGTGATTTCATGTCCAATACAACACTGGAGAGATAGGAATTAACATGGTAAAACGGTTTTGGACAAACTTCTTCACTCTTAATCTAAGTTAGGAATGTAATTGTGTCACATCCTCTTTCGTTATCTGACATAGTTGATTTTCTTTGAGAACTCAATGTCAGGTAGGCCTTCTATTTCAACATTTCTTAGACTGACTTTTTGGAGTTTAAGGCCTTGGTTAGTTTCCACAGAAAACAGGAAGGACCAATCAACTTTTCTGTACTGTACTGTTTTTAGTAGTAGTAATTTCTGTTCGTAATATGTCAATTAACAAATTTATGTCATTTTATGTTCACTATTTATTTTATGATATGAAAAGATCTTGTTATTCCTTATCTTAAATACTCATTTGTTCAATTAAATAACATTTCAAGTTTCCATTTACATTAGCCTCTGTGTGTGCGTGTGTGTGTGCGTGTTTGTGCTCACCCTTATTTTGTTCTGAGATGTTCCTGAATGAAGTTTCAGATTACAATTTTAATATATCCTGTTGCTGAATAGGAATTTTAAACTACCTGTACTGTGGTTTTTTTTAAAGTGCTGCTTAAAGGTAAAACTTAAAAGGAGAATTATTTTTTCTCCTGGAGGGTTTTGAAAAGTACTTTTGTGTATTGTCATGTAAAATAAATGTCTAAATAGAATTAAAATATGATTCTCCAGTGCTACTTGATTTTTTTCTTGTGGTTTTTAACTTTTATTTATGATCTTCACAGTACTGTAATTACCAAAATAAAAAAAAATGTGTGTATTCTTCAGACTGGAAAATTAAAGATAATAAGTTGGACTAAGTCATCCTAATATTAACAGGAACATAGGAGTTTATTAAATTGAGTTAAACCAGTGACTATTGACCAATAGCAACTGCCCACATTCAA